GATAAAGAAGACGATTTTCGGAGAAGTAAAGGTTGCTTCACTTCACATTTAAAAGAAACATTCAACCGATATGAAATCTTGCGACGGCGAAAAAAGAAAAACTCAAGTGAAGGATAATCTACCTGTAGTGGAAGAAGACTTTGAAACTTAAAGGAAAATAATATGATACAGACAGAAGTCGTGTGTAAGATTTTTAAGATGAGCCCGGGAGGCTGTCTTTGACAGCTGTTTAATGATTTTCTTAATTAGCAGTAAACGTCTGTAAACATCAGATCGTAGGCGCGCGCGCGAGCACACGCAATTGTCAGCGGTAACTATAACAGATCATGAGCAAGTGTCCATGTTATAGAATCCAGATTTTTAAATGCGCGAGAACGCGTGTGGGAATTGCTAAACTCACGAAAGCTATTGCATGAAAACAAGTCCGGTGACCCCTTCTTTTTATTGTTCCAATATGATAATAACGTCGAAAGGAATCATCAGAAAAAGAAACTAGAAAATTCTACGGAAGGAAATTTGTGATGTCTGAAAATTGCCTTTTTTCTAGATTTTCTGAAACTCCGCTCCGTAGAATTTTTTAAAAATCTTTGTGCATTTTCCTTTTCAAGTGCCAAAAGCAATCACTGAAAAAAATCATGGGGTCACGGGGTTAGTTTTCGAATTAGCCAGAAGCTAAAAAATGCGTCTGAATAAGCCTATAAAAGCGTTGCCATGGAAACTGCTAATGACGAAATGACACCTATTTCTGGATAACCAATGATTATATAATTCAACCCCGTAAAAGTGTTCAACTGGCCTTGGTCAGTCTTTCTGTTGTATTCTTTCAAAGTTACAAACCATCAAAAAGACGAAAACCGGTACGAGCCACCTTAAGTGCAAGATGCTATAAAATAAAGAACCTTTAACAGTATTAAAATAAGTTTTCCGTTATTGAGAAAAATACAGCACCAACCATGATACCTTGTTCACAATGAAAACTTAATTACTGTGCACAACTAGAAATGTTCCAATTTCTCCCTATGCGTTTTCCAACAGAATAATGCAGTTTATTTTGGCTAATCTTTATCGGAAATGTTTAGTTGTGAGCACCTGTCTCCTTTAAAGATCACGTCTGAGACCGACATTCAAATTAAGCGGATGAATTCAGCGGATGATGGTCAGCAGATGTTCGCAACATTCATGGAATAAACAGGTTTTCAATAGGTAGTTAATAGTTTCATTTCACATTTTTGGGACATATCGACATGAATACTAAGCAATCTTATAATTAGATATTATTGTTAGATCATGTTTAGTTTCATCACCGAAAAACATCTGCTCGTCTGGTGTTTTGCTTTTTTCAGTGTTCGTGATCCGGAGAATCTTTTTTCAAAGGTTGAGGCAAGAAGCAGGATGTCACCATCTTGTGCTTTTTGTCGCACTCAGTGATGCCATGTTTTTTTTTTGGCCTCTAGGCTCCTACGTGATCGTTGTTCTTCCGGTCCCTAACCAATCAAATTTTACCATCTAAAATACTCAATCCTGATTGAGTATTTGACGATGTCTGTATCACGTATCTATTGAATGAAATACATGTGGGAGTATGCTTGTATAAAGGCACGACTACAGCTGAAGCCGTTATTATTAAGAAATTTACTCTCAAAAGAATAAATTTCGCAGAGCAATGGATAATGGAGATGGGCTTAGGTCAACTAAACAACTGCTGTGCTCAGCAGAATTGCCTGTTCAGTTGCACCATTACTTTACTTGCCTCTCAGTGTTCAGCATCGTTTTATCCATAACTGCATTTACTGGAAATACTTTAATATTAGTGGCCCTTCACAAGGAATCCTGTCTTTACGCGCCATCTAAAATTTTGCTAGGTTGTTTGGCTGTAAGCGATCTTGGTGTTGGCCTTATTACGGGACCTCTCTATGCGGCATATTTTAATTCTACCCTGACCAAACGCTGGAATATGTGTCGCTTTGCATTTGCTTCAGGTACTCTATCAGGTTTCCTCTTTTCTTCAGTGTCTTTCATGACACTTACAGCAATTAGTATAGAAAGACTACTCGCCTTAAAACTAGGCCTTCCATACAAACAAGTTGTGACTTTGAAGCGTGCTTATATCGCTGTTGGTGTTATTTGGGTCACGTCAATCTCCCTCACAGCTGTCTCATGGGAATACTTAATAAGCCTAAGGATTGCATGTACAGTCATATCTTTCTGCCTGATGATCTCTACGTATTGCTACATAAACATTTATCTGACTCTACGTAAGTATTGGTCTAAAGCGCACTGTTACCGCTTTCTGCAACAAAGCCGAGTTGTTCCATTGAACATAGCCACATATAGAAAGAGCTTGTCGGGTTGTTTATGGCTACAGCTGGCAGTTTTCATTTGCTATCTTCCGTTCACCGCAGCAGCATTTCTTGTCATTAGTCATGGACACTTTTCCACAATTAATCTCGCTAAGATGTTTACAATCACAGTGGTGTACCTTAACTCATCCCTGAATCCGATTCTTTGCTGCTGGAAGATCAGACGAGTGAGAATAGCAGTGACGAAAACAATAAAAAAAAAATTATGCCTTTCTTCCTCAAGCTAGTTCTTTTTGCAAGCCATTGGTGTTAGGAATTACGAACACAAATAAACTACGACTCGTGAAGGGTCTATCCAAGGGGTCTTGCAGAAGTGCTGCAGCTTTCCTGATACAATACAATACAATAATTTATTAAACTCTCCTCGGAAGGGCCTTTCAGAGCTTAAAAACTATCTTAATAATTACAATTCTTACAATAATTACAATAATTATAATTAAAATAACTACAATAGAGGAGATTAAAAATATACAGATGTATTTATATATATAAAATGTTAAAAATCAAAATCGACTGATCAGAAGATGATTTATAACATAACCAAAGTAAAGCGCGCGCTCTGATTGGTCAATTTAGCGTCCCCCATTTGCCCATGGGTGTACGCTGCTGACGTGAGCAAATGCAAAGACTATTTTCCCGCGCGCGCTTGTTTTTTCTGGTCGCGTAAGATTTGTTAAATAAAAGGGAACTCTTTAGCTACAATGTATCAATGTTATGTTATAAAACAAATGGTAAACACCACACCGTACACTATTGAGTTATGGATGCACTTGGGAGGTTTGCTAAGCACTCAAGAAGCTAGAGTCGCTCTCGGCTATCGCCTCGAGCGACTCTTACGCTTCTTTCGTGCTTAGCAACCTCCCGCGTGCATCCATAACTCAATAGTGTACGCTGTGGTGTTTACCATTTGTTAATTATCAGCTTACGTTTAAAAATGTTCGTCGAGGAGCTCAATTTTAAGTCACTGGGTAAAGTTGATCAAGTGATCAAGTTTGTTTCAGAACTGAAACTCTTCCACAATTAAAACCTGTAAAGATGTCAGTCTAATTTGAAGATGTGGTTGTTCTTGGAATAAACTCATGAAATGGAGTCAGTGTCAATTTTAAATCTTTCCTAATTTGCTATGAGTATATCATCAGTTCCAAAAAGTATTTCAGTGTTCACAGTGAGATGCTAAAGAGAGGATATTGGATTAACACAAGCGTTTTCCGGCTTTGTTTAAAATTGTGGATAGGGGTAAAAATAATAAAGGGCAATAATTCGAAGTAAGGAGGTAGAAATTCGCTCAAGAAAATCAAAATTGAATTTTGTGAAGGTGTTGTCACGCGGGAGAATGATAATGCTAAAGAAATGAGGGAGTGGGATAAAAACTGGGCTCCCTCTAATTTGAAAAAAAATTATGCATGAAGACAGTTTTCTCTGAAAAACACTAAGAGAAAATAAAACTTTATAGAAAGAGTAGATACTTGATGATTTCAAATGCTAGCACATCTGTTGTAAGTGACTGGCAGAAAGCAAAGACGAGGCATGGTGAATTAACCAGCGGTAGTCCTGGATTCGGGATCATCTTTATCTTTGTTGTGTAAGCTATGCTTAAATTGACAACAGCGTTCGTGGCTGAGCGCAACTTTAGATTTAAAGAAAGATTCGCTACTAAGCGTAATCTTCCTTTTTACAAGTCTGATTGACGAAATGACCAATTAATTTATTCAAAACTAGCAACCTTGTTTTATTCTGTGCTGTTTTGTAGTGAAAGCTCATTTGAAGTTTATTATTTCATCTTGGTTTTATAAAGCGGAAAAATAAGGACGGACACCCGTATGACAACGATATCCTTAAGACACTGTCAGACTTGTCATATATCTTTAGACATTACGAAAGTACACCTACGTGGTAAAACATAAGATCTCTCTTTCATAACAATTATAAAAAATACTAATACCCCTGTTTTTTTTTAACGTTTTAACATTTATCAATTTTTTTAATAGATATTCCGACAGAAATGTTTCGTTTATTCGATATCGTCGCCGCTCATCCCTGCGATACACAGGACAATTGTTATGCGCAGATCGCTTGTTTCCTCACTTATCACGGAAGAAACGCGAATCGGAGCAAAATTTAATGCGAATTTTCTTGATTCCACGGAAACTGTCCCCGGTAAAGCCAAAGTGGCATTATACAAATTAATCTGCTGAATGCGACGAATTTGATGTTTTGAATTTTTTGCCTGAAGAACTAGCCAGGTTATTTTTTCCTTGCCAAAGCGATCACATCAAGCAATAACTACGCCTTTCGAGGTGTTTTTTTTCCTCTACGCAGTCATTTCATGACTTCGCCTGTTATATGATGATATCGAGGCAAGTAACCTTTAATAGGATACCAGGTGCAAATCCTTCTTTGAGAAAATGAGTTTTACTTTCATGGGAAACAAATTTAAACAGACTCGTATTTGTTTCAATACTAAAGAGTCTGTGCATCTCGGGAATGCCCTATTAATCGTTTTAATTTCTTTAAACAAAATAAGTGAATGCTATCGACAATATGTGACAGCTACGAGGCAGAATCGTTATTTGCATACGAAATCAACCGGCTGGGTTTTTGTTACCATTTTAAGCTCTGACATAATCCATCTAAACTTACCATCCTCGTCAGTGATAACAACTGTCGGCTCGCTCTTAGTTCCTTCTCCTTTGGTTGTGAACGCCGACACCTGGATTGTGTAGTTTGTATACTTCTCTAATCCTGAGAGGCTGAACGTTCGCGTTGGAGCCAATATTGTTATGTTCCTTAAAATAACTTCACTGTGATTGGTTCTCCACATAATGAGCCTGTATCCTCGGATAATACCCAAGTGATCAGGGAAGGGGACCTCGCCCCAGTCCACGCGAAGACTTGTTGAGCTTGTGTTTATAGCAATGACGTTATTTGGAGGAGCCCTGGGGACTGACAAAAATATGAGGCCAATCAGTTGGAAAGATGAGAAATATATCCCTGGCCGATGGTAGTTCAATCTATTTTCTTTTCAAACTAACTGCGAATTTTTATTCATTTGAACCCTGAAGCTTCTCGGAGGGCTGCGCTTCAAAAGAAGTTCAGGTGCTTATTTTGGAGCAGATGTAAACCTTCAAATCAATTAACTCACCGTGCTCGTCTGTTCTGCTGACTATAAAAGGGCTCTTGGCACCGTCGCCAATCTTGGTGAACGCGGTAACAGTAATGTTATAATCTCTGTACTCCTCAAGGCCTGTTAGTATCGTTTGGCGGGCCAGGGGATCATGAACTGTTTTAACCTTCCAAAGTGCACTGCTGTCGTTTACATTTAAATAATGCACGTTAAATCCGAGGAGTACACCAAGCACTAGCCGTACATTCGGGTCAAATTCCCATTCGATCAGAAGACTCCAAGCGCTCGTGTTCCTTCCATGTACTTCGAAAGGAGCCCCAATAGGAACTGGAGATAAGATGGTTCAAAGGTAGCTATTTACACAACCCCAAACTATAAATGATGAATAAGCCTTTACAATTACTGACAACAGGCGTGGAGGTATCTAAAAAAAAAAATTATGGTCGCAGCAAGACGACGCTATTGTAAACTAATTTGGGCTGCTGTGGAAACCCAAACTGATATAAAGTACTTTGTGCCGGACTTAAATACGTTCAGGTTGAATTAATTTATGTCTCAGTACTTGTGCACTGACCGGCTAGAAAAACTAGCATTTTCTTATCCAAAGGTTAAAGGATGTTGAACACAACATGAACTTTTTTTTTTACAATGACATTCATACTTACCGTCCTCTTCAGTCATGGCGGATACATCTGCGCTTAGTGGTCCATCTCCTTTTATGGTGAAAGCCAAAATCGAAACACTGTAGCCGTTAAACTTTATCAGAGAGGAAAAGTCAAACTGGTATGAAACGGAAGCCTTAGTTTCATTCCGTACAAACTCTCCAGTGTAGTTGTCCTTTAAGAACAGCCGATAGCCTCGAATGATGCCGTGACGACAACATCCAGGAACTTGGTTCCAGACTGCCCTTAAACTGGTCGAGCTTGTGTTGAACAGTTGAAGTTCTGTTGGGGCTTCAGTTGGGACTGGGAACGAATAAGTTCAGAGCCTTAAGTTCATACCATGATGAGATCAGTCTTATTAAGGTATAATTATTAAGGTTTCTCCCAGTCACGTGTTGCCCAGACTGGGCAACACGTGATTGAGAGAAGCTTCGATTCAGGAGTATTGAGAAAGCTTAAAGCAGAACGTTGGTTGATGAAGCGAATAAAAATATCACGTTTTACATTCTTGAGCTTCAAAATTATAAAGTGAAAGCGCCAACTTATGCGACGTTGAGAATATGAGCAACCACTAGAAATATGTCTTTATCTCTCGTGGTCAGAAAATTAGCACTGTCTTTTGATACTTTCCAATATGGTTGACAGACAAACCAATATTCAGAGATCTGGATAACAGTGAAATGGATGTATTTGATATCATTTACAACTTTTTAAAAAGACATTTGAAAGAATAGCTATTATTAAAATCCCACGGTTTTTTTTTCCTGAAGAAATGGACGTTCAAATCCATAACTGTCTAAATAAACGAGGCTTATTTTGAGACTACATCATGCTAGGAGATGCGGATAAACCTGAGACGTCCCCCTCTGGGGGGGGGGGCAATCCCGCCATTGCTGCTGTGAGTGTCAAGGCATCTGGTCACTCGCGTAAATGATTTTCTTATGAACTCACTTCTTACTTAGAGTGCTAAGAGAAGAATGAATCTACGTTCCGGGGTTTTAAAGGCAACGAGAATTCATTCAGTTTATAGGGTTGTCTACATCCAGTCTCTTTTCGGGTTTCCTTAGACTAGAAAGGTCATAAGATGGCTTCTTAAATCAGCCTAAGAGGAACAACTTGTGAGGGGAGAGGCTGGGAATTCAACACCTCATATTAGCTTGATTAGCGGTAATCTATTTCAGTGCATTACACCTGAGCGTAAGTTACAAGAGTACGTCAGCGACACACACGCGGGATATCGAAATAGCCAATGAAGTTTGCATATCAGTTTACATGTAACTATTCAAAATCATTTAAAGATTAAACCTCCCGTCAGTATCTACTTTCATATCAAACAATAAAAACTCACCGTCCTCGTCTGTTGATGCGGTGACATACCCGTCTGGCCCCTCCCCAAAGAGGGAATAAGCGCGAACACGAGCCAAGTAGGTTGTAAACTTTTTCAAACCTATGAATTCTGAGGCGTTAGTGATGAGGGGGACTGTACAATTTCCGACTATTGTACCGGAGTACCCAGTTTCTCTCACGAGAACGCGATATCCCCTAACCTCGCCATGATGAAAGGAGTCTGGGACTTTACCCCACGTGACACGAAGGCTTGTGGAACTTGTATTAAAAATATAGATCGGAACAGGGTGGTGACCAGGTGCTTGAATTAAGAAAAAGAAAAAACACTTTGAGCGTGAAGAAGACCTTAAAGTTCAGGAAATAGAGGAAACGTAATGAAAGTGGACAGTGCAAATATATATTTATCCTGATAGACTTTGTAGACAGTTTTGAGACCTACGTAGCTATAGTCCGTTTCATTGGCACTTATTCATGATGAAATATATGAAATAAAGGGTCAAACAGTTGGACTGAGAAACAGCCTGACAGAAAGAAGGTTATACCAATGGACTTTACAAATTACTCGAAAAGAGCTCTTGCTAATAGACTAAGGTCATTCTATCGATAAACGCAATAATATCTGTTTGTTCAGAAACATCTTTACTCTTTTTACCACCCGGTAATAGGCACTCGAGATCGCTTACGCATTATGATCTCTAACCAATTGATGTTTGATACTTGGACGATTATAAATTTCGTTCGATACAAAGGCAATCAAAGTATGGTTCGAGAATTGACTGATAAATGTTGCTTAAGTTAAATGTAGGAAAAACAAAATGGATGGATGTTCACTGAAGGACAGACAGACGAAAAAATGGATGGAT